CTTATCCAGACTGTATGGCATATCTTGCCCTTGGAAGTTATTCCTCTGAATTAGAGCCAGTGCCCATTTCAGTGCTTGCCATTTGTCATGAGAATTGGTCTCTTGCAGCACCGTTACTCTGTGGCCATGATTTATTACCTTTCATGTGTCTAGGAAATATGCTGTTCATGAGAAATTAGTCACTGGTGTAGGGCTTAATTTTTCAAGACTTTAGGTACCCTAAAAAAATCTAGTTACCCTTTCATTTGCTGGGGGGAAAACTAAGAATTGTGTGTTAATGAGCTGCAGCAACTAGATGTAGTTTAAGTAGATTTTTCAGTGCGACTTGAAAAAATTGACAGCTGGTTTCTAAATATGTAAAGGATATTTATTAGTATTTTTCTGCCTAATGAGTGTTTAGCAGATGTAGGCAGATTGTTTTGATCTTATCTGCTTTTTTTTTTACTTTTGTAAGCTTATGATGTTTTACCACTATGAGTTCTTAATCTCCTTAGAACTCCATTGCATTGCAACCATTGCAAACTTCTCCTGAAACCCCCAAGTTCTCTATAAAAACTTTGTCCTTTTAAAAGGTTATTTTTTTTATTTACCTGCATGTTTTCAGCCATCTCCAGTTTTACTATGTTGTTGGAAGCAATGCAATAATCTAATGAGATGATCTGTTTGAGCAGCTGGTTTTAACCTCTGTGACATTTCTTGTTTGGGATATAAGCCTCTGCTGTCACTGTAGTACATGCTATATTTTTTTTTTTTTTCCTCTTCACCCCATCTTTGTGTGTTTTCTTTCCTTTGGGTCAGAACTAGCAGGGAGGGATCATAACTGAACTGCAATATCACAGATTCTTTGTGTTGAATGTGAATTTTTCTCTTGTTTTGACATCTCTCTTTCACATCTGAGAGGGTGTGCATGGGATTGAAGCCAAAGAGGAATAAACCCTTATTTTCCCCTTGAGAATAGAAGTTTCTTTGGCATCATCAGTTCAAGGTCACTTGCAGTTCTGGTTCTCCAGCATTTGTGTTCCTTTTCTCTGGCACTCCTGAGATACTTGATAGCTTGGAGATATTTTAGAGGTATTCTAGATGTTCATTTCAGTTCAGCTCTTAATGGAACGGAGACAGTTGCATACACACTCCAGATCGTAGTGCTAATTTTTTGTTACGTGGAATAAACAAGCAAAAATCCACAGGAGACCAATCATCATCAGAAACTTTATTCAAGTTACATCCAGACTATGATGGAGTTTTGTGGCTCACCAGTTTGTTCTTGCCAATGACAACATGGGGGGACTGAGCACAGCTCTGCAGTCTGCAGAGGTCCTACAAGATTCACTGGTATTTGTTGCTCTTATAACACTTCGAGTTCTTCAGATGTAATTTGTGGAGTATTGAAGATGAAGCAATGTGTGTTGCAGTAAGTGCAAAATGTTGTTATAAGCAATAGCTCCTCCCAAAGAAAAAGTGCGTTTAATAGGCTATTACATTTCTTACAATAACTGTCCTTTTTGTGATGTTTAAGGATGGGTATACTGTGATCTGTAATACAGAGTCAGGCAATTTAGGTTTTTTCTCTTTTTTGGTAGGTATTGAAAGGCTTGAGACTGTCGGTGGAACTGAATGCTCTCTTCAGATGCAAACATTGGACACTAAATCAATGTTCTGAACAAAAATTGCCTTCTTTTGTAATTCAAAGCAAAAGGAATTTTTTTTTTTATTTTTATTTTTTTTTTTTTTGCAGGAATTTGAGCATATTATCATCCTGAAGACAAAATAATCAGTTAAATCCATTGGAGCCATTTTTTCTTTTTGTGTGTTTACCAGAAGTTTAAAAGGGGAGAGAGGGAAGAAGGAAATTAAAAGAAAAAAGAAAAGCTGACCTTAATAACTGACAGATGTTTAAAACTTCTCACTGTGGGCCAAATGTTGTTGTTTCTTCTCTGTCCTTCATGCCACTTGTAATTTTGCAGGTGCTTATGGATGCACAGTACGATGTAAGAAGTGTTATAAATCAAACAGCTGTATCTGAGTAGGAGGCAGCTTTGGCTGTATCTTCCCTGTATAAAGACAGACTGTATGACCTCAGACAACACTAGCAAGGAATATTTGCTCCATGTAGCAAGAATTCTCCATAGTGCTTTATCTTGCATATCTCACAGTGCACTGTGTGAGCAAGTGTTAGGTGGTGAAATCTGTTCCATATAGCTGGAAATACACAGTGCATATGGCTGAATCTGGAGGAGGAAGAGATGGTTTGTGCCCCTTGAGTTGCAGTCAAGCAAGTCTGCTTGTGTAAACTAATATAAATTAATATATTTCCTTTTTGGTTTTTTGAAGATCCCCTTTTTTGTTTTACCCAACATTAACCATTAGAGTCCATTGTACATGAGGAGGATTAAATAATAAGTTATATGAATAATAACACTAGTAAATAGCAATGGAGCGGCATTAATGCATTTGGCTCCCAATTGTTAAATGATTAGGAAGGCTCAAGATTTCAAAAGATTTCCATTTGCCTACAAACACAAAGGGCAGTTGTGCACTTTTATTGTACTTGCATTGTTTCACGACTGTGCATGCTGTGCCTGTAATAGCACACTGCTGGAGGCAACTTAAGTTCTAAGTATGCAACTGTGGATGACTTTGTGGCTAGGTTTCCTTATTGAAATATTTCCTGCAAGTTGTCTAACTTTAAATATAACAATCAAATGATTCTGTCTTTTTCTTTTCATCCCTAAGAGGACAACATTCAGCTGGTACTCTTGATTTAGTAAAAATGTTGGCTGTTTTGTTCATTTGCCATGAAACATGTTTGTAGGCTTGGAAGAATTGATTCCTTAAAGGCATTTGGCTGAAAACTCTGATTCTTTCAATGCAATAGTAGGGTTGAGAAGCTTTTATTGCCAATGTCCTATACTTTCAAGATGGAGCTGTGTATTTTACTGCATTGTATGCTTGATTATTGAAATAAGGTTATATAGATATTGTAAAACTTATGCCATACTATCCCATACTACTGTGAAAATGCCAGAGACTTTAAAATATTTTTTTGACCAGGAGAAGTGACATGGCATGAAATGCTGACTCCCATCAGCTTTTACAGGCCGTTTTTTTTTTTTTCTAAAGTCATTGCTTGGTATTTGAACTCTCTCTTAAAGGTGATGAACGGTCCAAGTATTAAGGCTTTTGCAAAGCCAGTTATTGGCTTCTAAATGTCACAGAACAACCAGGTTGGCTATAATGATTTAATGGCCTTGGTAGACGTAACTTTTTTTTTTTTTTTTTTTTTTTTGTAAAGGTGAAAAACTTTGTCTTACAGAAATGGCAAGGACTTTACGTCTTCTTGAGGGTAATTTTAATGCTGCTACAACTCTGCGGCACGTAGAGGAAGGATTTTAATTTCTAGAACGTCCTATCTCATACAGCAAATTTACTTTAAGAATTACACTTTCTTCCCATATGCCCGTTCAAAAAAATGAGGAAGGGATTGGAGGCAGAGGGCTGCTCAGTATCCTAAAACTTTGATATGGTTCCATTGTGTCACACCGGGACTCCTGTGGCAGCAGGATTTCCCCACTGTTTTCTCCCCCTGCTCTGCATACACAGAGCAGTGAAAAGGGACCTGGGAGAACTAGACGCAGTCCTTTGACACAGTGTCATGTCTGGCCTGGGACAAACTGTTTTATCTCTTGATGCCACAATTCATCCTCTGTGGAAGAGGACTGACTCTCGTTCTGTGTTGTAAGGACAAATTTATTAATGTTTCTGAAGTGTGCAGAACTGTGGCAGTGGGGGCTGTGCAAGTATAAAGTGACTACTTTCTGTTCTCTAGTGACTGACTAGTTTTTATAGTGATGTGCTGTGATTCAGGAGTGAAAGCAAGTTAGTAATAAATCCTTTAAGTGAGATTTCTGATTTAATAATTTTGTTGCTAGTAGTTGGACTACTTGTGCTGTGCCTTTATGAAGATTTTTTTTTACTTGGTTCACTTTTTATAGCCTGGGAGAAAGATTTAATTTTAGAAGTTTCAGTTGACAAAGACATGCTGGTGCTAGATACGTATTTCAGATCCTTGTCATTGTGCTCTATTTTTAAATTCAAGTGCCAGCCAACCTAAAAAGCACACCCTGTGTCTATACTGGGTGCCCTGCATCCATACTACAAAGCTGAATCTTCCAAGCCTTAGCATAAGGCCACCAAATTGACTTTTATATGTTTTCCTATTTAATGAAGAGAAATGCTCTAGCAAGTTCTTTTCATTATCACAGAACTAAAACTGGTCATAAAAACAATCCCCCCTCCAGAGGTCTGCTCAGGCATTGGCAGTTGTTAAGATGCTTGCTTATCAACAGCCACTCGAGAAAGAATTTTAAATGGTTTTGTGACGTCAAGGAGGCCCAAGAAAATATAGTCTGGTGCCAAATTACTTCCGTCATTGAAAGCATGCAGTAAGAAATAGATAACACAGAAATAAATCTTTTGTGCAGTAGCTATCTCATGATACGCTCTAGTGACTCCTATAAGTGAAGTTGTCTGGTATAGGAATAGCTAAAGAAGATGAACTTTCAGATCCTCATTTTCTAATTTATGATTAATGAAAAGCCAGCCTAATCTGTCTGACATCCTGCTGTTTGGACAGAATGTCTGCGGGTAGCTTGGACCTTGCAGAGGGAAATGCCCTGACCAAGTTACAGCCTACTAAAGTGAACAATTTAAGTATGATGGACAAAAAACTGAATCTCTTGACTGAAAAGATGGACAAAGTGTTACATTTCCAAGAAGATCTGACAGGCAAACTGCAGCGAGTTAACAAAGGCATTGATGAAGTAGAAAAAGGCATTAACAAGCTAACGATATCCCGAGCAGCTCCTGATGAGACAGATGCAATGAAAAAAGGCCTAAAGGTATCGGATGGTACCCACCAGACTGATATCCAGAGCATATGCTCAGAAGTGTTGAAATTGATGAAAGCTGCCCAGCTAGATGCCTTGAAGCATAAGGAGAGGCTGGCAAAGATAGAGAAAAGGGTTGACACACTGGATAAAGTTATTACATTTGTGGGAGAAGTATTAAAAAATTCTAAAGTAGTGGATTTTATTCTCAAAGGCATTGTGCCCTGGAAGAAGGGGAGTCTGCTGGAAATCCTTGTTGAGGTTGGTTTTGTTTTACTATTCTTCATATTTTTCTTTATGATGTAGCAGGACTTTAGGCTCTCCTGCTGATTCTTTGCATAACAGATAATTCAGGTTTTCTTTCCAGTGTTGCTGTTACAGGTTACTGCTATGACCTTTGAATTGCAAGCCTCTTAAGGCAGAGACCAAGGCTCAAAACATGCCTTGCACTCTGATGTCTGAAGTTCCCAAAGTCTGTCAAGCAATCCCGTAACAAGTATGAGTAGATTGCTACTGTAAAGGAAAATTTTGCTTCTACCAGTCTTCAGAGATCAACAAAGTCATTCAAATTAGTGACTGAATTGAGGCTCCAGTGAAAAGTACGAGTAACATACTGGAAGCATTTATTTATTTATTTATAATAAGCTTCTATTTTCTTGATTGGTCGTGAATTCAGAACACAACACCAGTTACTAAAACCTATGCTGACTTATGGTCATATTACCAAGCAGATTGTTATGTCCCTGGACATCTAAGTTGTCTTTAGCTATATTTTTATGATGAACTTATGACTGTATCAATCCATTGGCATTGTTCACTTCCTCAAATCAAATAGTTCTCGTGATTGCAAGTTCCTAGACATCAGTTCCTATGCATTTCTCAAGTACTGAGAACAGTGAGAGAGGAACAGGCAAGACTGGTACGTAGTTGATAATGGAGTTTTGGAATGATTAACCTTGTTTTTAAAAGTTACAGGCATCTGGAATTAGATTTAGCTAACGAGAGTTTTCAGTTTTCACTATGGCTTGTATCCCACAGTGGGGAAGACGTGGGGGGAAAATGCAAGAGTTGGAACAGGCTTGTTCATTCCAAGATTATCCTTGTATGTAGAGGTGTGATTATAGTAAGGAGAACTTAGCTCAAATGCAAATGTCCATTTGTGTCTTAATCCAAATATTTTTCACCAAAACTGTAAAATGTTTGTACACCTAAACTTTTACAAGAACAGGGCAATGCTAGATGCTAGCATACCTCTTCAGGCTTTCCGAGTGTTCTTCTGTTCTTGCTTTTAAAGTGCTAGAGGCTGACAAGTGAGCTAGACTGTTAGGAGACAGAAAGATGTATAAAGAGTTTCCATTACTGTTGAGAATAATAAATCAAACATTAGGTCTCAGTCTTAATTCTGGGTAGAGGTGAATCTTGTACTTACTTGCAGTTCCAATTTCAGTTCTGCAGATTTTTGGAGAAATGGAAGACTTTGATACGTTTTGGTTAAAGCTGCATTGTTACAAGTTACTGCTTTCAGTCACTGCAAAATGCCTGGAGACAGATAGAGCCCTTTGCAGGACTGACACCTTGAACTGAACTGCCAGTGCATGGTATATCAATGGCCAGGTGAAGATGAGTATAAAAATGATAAACAAATTTTGTTTCCAGATTGTCAAAGTGCAAAGAGCAGTAAGAGATAAATAAAGGTGGTATGAGGGGTACTGGAGGAATGTTTCACATGGACTTCTAGCATATTGTCAGGATTAGTTGTCAACTAGCCATGATGCACTGCCTCCTCATCGGTGTTTGACCTCCTTCAGTCTCCTGTTTTGCAGAAATTTATCCAAGTTTTATGGACAGGCAGATAGAGATTGAGAGGTGAAATGACCTGCTCTTGGTAAATGATGGACTAGGGTGGGGCAGGGGTCTCTGTCCTGGGCTGTCACCACTGCCTCGGTAGGTGGAACAGGCAATGTGCATTGGGCAAGTGGACAGTTTTATGACTAGCTCCAGTTTTGCAATATGACCATCATTGTTCTCCTTTTTTGTTTTTGGTCATGAACAGCTTTTGAAATTGGAGGATAAGGTCAGTTCTAAGACCTTAAGATATGTCTTGCTTTGATCACAGGCTGCTGAGTGATATTTGAACTAGGCTTGAATTAGTGAGGTAGTGTATGTACATGACCTAGCTGGGGTGACGAGGAGCAAAGCATGGGTGAATTTAAAAACAAATTAGCTTGCACTGAGCTATGTGCTAACTTTGGTCTAGTTTTTGCAGCCTGTTTTGTGAGAGCAGTGTAGACGTGTCCAAAGAGCTCCACAGTTGCACGGGGGTTGCACAGAAAAAGAATTTGCTGCCTCCTTGTTTGTTTTCCAGCCTTTGCTGTTTCATAACAGCGTGCTGCTTATCACGGAGCTGGCTTAGTGCAAGGTTACTCAGGATGGGAATGGGAGTGGGGAGGTCATGTTTTTATTTCTGGGTGAAGCTGTTGGTGATGGTATGACAGCATTCCAGGGATGCTGTGGAGCTACTTATGGAAGAAGTTTTGTGGGGTTGGAGTCAAATTAGTAAAAAACTATGAATTGAGCTTCATAGGATCCACACCTCTAACTTCTTATTTACAAACCAAACAGAAAAACTCAGCAGTATTAAACTGTCACTTATCCAAGGCTTTCTTTGCACATAGGACTTTGCAAGAATAATGTTCCCCCTGGTCATTGTTGCAGGTTTGCTTAGAGCTGTAATAAAAATGGTAATGATTTTTTTTACTGCTTTTACTGTTTGGGTGTTTTGGTTTTTGGAAAGTGGGGTGTGGGGGGCTCTGTTGTGGAATCTCTGTGTTTGGAGCATGAAATACTTAACTGCTTTTACTAAGAGCTGAGGGTCTGATTTGCAGCAATCTTGTGATCAGTTATCTGCAGAAATATTTTAAATATTGCTTATTTGCTTGTACAAATAGGGGTAGGAGGCTCCTCATCATTAGATTCTAATTATAGGTCAACTGAGAAATATGTTGTACCTTTTCCTATTTTTGTGTAATGCTTTCTGCTAATCATTAGTTACTTTGTTTTAATTTGATTTCAAATGTATTGCTGTGTGAAGTGTTTAGTGGTGCTATTACATGATATTCTTCCTCTGTGCTTTCTCAATTGGAGGAAGAAATTAGCTTAAAAATAAAAATCTTCTAAAAGACAATATCTGTTTTTAACCATGCCAAAGGTGATGTGTAAATGTCAAGTACATACAATAGTTACCATAGACCTAGAGGCTCTTTTTTGTTGTCACCTCTATCATAACTCAGATCCTGAATCTTTAGATGCCTTGAGACAAATATGTTAATATCTTCAGAGACATTGCTTATCTGTCAGTCACCAGCCAGAAAGCAACAGAAATAAAGTATCATTTCTTTTTCTAATCTCTCTTATGTTTCACATGTCATGGGTTTTAATCAATATGAGTAAAGATGACAGGAGGCAAAATCTCTGACAGTCAAAATTTTGGAAAGCAGTGAGCTAATGTATTATTCTGTGTCATCTTGTTTTAGAAGTATGCCTATCTGTAAAAGCAGGGAGAGATTGGAAGAAGGGAGTAAACACAGCAGTAATTAAAAATTCAGAAGATCAGAGGTGTTAGTGTGTCCATTTTACAGAGTCTGAGTACCTATGTGGTTGGAGGAACCTAGTGGAAAATGAACACTCTTGGCCGTAATGGTTATTTTTGTGTTCCCCTGTCATTTTTAGGCCAAAGATAAGCCTGACGAGAGTGGTGCAAAACCTAAGCATGTGCTTAGTAACAGAGGAACCCAAACTGAAAGCAAGAAGCCTCTGGAAGGTATGTGCCACGCCAGGCATGCTACAAGCTTCAACCCTAGAATGTGCAGCAGACAAACTGGAAATTAATAGCGTTCTATTTCCCACTACCTGAATGTAGTGTACTGAAATGTAACTGGGTAACTGTCCACCGGTACTGGGAAAAATAGAATTGTTTTCACCTCCTCCACAAGATGATCTATCCCCTGGATCAAACCCCACAAAATGCTAGAAGATCAAGAAACTAAAAGCAGCAGCTTTGTTTGACTGCACAGTTTTTTTGTTTTGGAATTAGTGAGCTGAATTAAGAGAGCAGTACTTGTTTGAAGATACCACGAAGGCAGTGGCAATATCACATAGCAAACCTAATAAATTATTTTCCCTTAACATATCTGAACCAGCCCTCCCTCCTCCCCCTCTCTGAAAAAGGCACATGTTGACATTGTGAATATCTTTTTTTTTTTTTTTGATCAGCAAGTTTCATTGCCGTATCAGGGCTGGATTCCTGTTGAGGATGCATCTGTCAGGGCATTGCCCTGTTGCACCCATTATTCGTGCCTGTGGAGTTACAGCAGGGGTGAACATGATGTTGAGCAGACCCTGTCATGCTGTTGTCTTCACAAATTGTCAGTGAACCCTTTAAATTACAGGCGATCCCCTTTTTAGCTTTATCATTTAGGAAGTGACAAAAATAAAGCAGATGGTCACAATTCTAACTCAAAAGCTACACAGGGTTGTGAACTAACCTTGATTGCCAGTGACCTGTGAATGCTGAATCGTGAAAGAAGTTACCCTAGAAATTTCCACTGTTAATATTCACAACCTGAAGAACCTTCTTGTCCTTTTGTGGAAAATGCAAGAGGCACTGTCTCAAGCCACAGTATCCCTTGAAGTCTTACTCAGTCTGTCTCTGCCCCTCTAATCAGGTAGAGGGTGTATCAAGTTCAGGAGAGTCCTGGATGGATCTGCAGTGCCTGAACTACCTGTTATATTTGTCTGCAGAGTGATTTCAGGCTTCAGATGCAGTGAGCTTGAGCCTTGCAGGTTTTTTGTTTGCTTTATGGAAATCCAAGTTCAATCTGTAACACTGCTGGAAAGCCAGCAGAGCAGTTAAACCTCTGATTAAGCCATGAGCATTAATAATGGCTGTCTCAAGCCTGCTTGTGTAGAATTTTAAACCTTTCTGGGGGGTTTCTTGCTGCCTTTTCAGATGCATGCAACTGCAAAAGTTATTTTGAATGTTGGGTTACTTTATTCCCTCTCTGTTTTGCTGTCACTTTTGTCAAGGATAATTTATTAACGGCTTATTTTATTCAGAGACAAAAAGTGGGAAAAAGCTGGATGAAAACAAGGGAGAATGTGAGAAGGTGAATGCTTCTAGTGCTGTAGCCCACAAAGCTTACTCCAAACCCCAAGCTAAAGAGAAGGCAGTGCAGCAGCAAGCAGTAGAAGGTGCTGGCAAAGCACACAGCTCTAAGAGCTGTCAGCAGCAAAAGGACATTGGTGTCAAAGCTTTGAATCAACACAACGGTCTTCCCTTTGTAAATCAAGATCATGTAGACAACCAAAATGTTCCTGCTAAAGCACACGATACGGACAGAGTCCCATGCCTAGATGAGTGCCACAAACAGCCTGTTCATCAGAAACTCAGAGAGAATGAAAACAAACCTCCATCGTCAAGTGCGGCATTCCGGGAAGCTGTGCCCTCCACATCCTGGGCTATATCTGACACAGGGTGTGAAGTGACACGTACCAGGTAATGGCCTTGTTGGTAGCTTTCTGGGTGATCTGAAACCATTTCATGTGTTAGAAGGGAAAAAAAGGAAAGCCAGGTCATTAGAGGAGGCAGCTCCTGTTGAGGCATGATCCTGGGGAAAAACAGCCATGCTAGGATGGGAGTGGTGAGACCTTACAAATGGTTAAGGCAAAAAACTCAAAGCAGCAAGAGCCCTGTGCAAGTGTCTGTGAAGCTGAGGAGTTGGAGGGCCAGGTGTGTGGGAGATTTTTTATATGATCGGGGCTTCTGTGTATTAGAGATAAAGGTGACTGCCCTGGTGTGGCTCAAAGAGTTGGGTATTTATAAACCATTCCTTTCCATCTCCTCTGTCTCTGTATCTGTGAGAGTGAAGGGAATTTGAGATATGTACTAGTATATGACAAAAACAAACAACTTGTTCTGTTTGCTGTCTTTGGTGGTTTCATGGTGGCTTTTTTTTTTTTATGCCTTGGTCACCTAAAAATATTTGTTTGTTCATTTATGAATCTCTGTTAGCCTAATCTTTTCCTCATAAAGGTGTTTTGTAATATGTCTTTCATAATCCACTTCCTTTTGAATTATTTATTTAGGATTTGATTTTAATTCTATTTATTTAAATTAAAAAAAGCTCACACAACAAAAAAAAAAAAAAACAAACCAACAAAACCCCACAACCAAAAATCCCCTACCAAACAAACCCCAACTGATGGAATTTCTGTGGCAAATTTCAGCTGCCATCCCTTCTTTGTCTGGGCTGGTGGATATAAAGTTGTTTATATATATATATGTGTCTGTGTATGTATGGGTGATAGATGCACTCACACATACATAAACACACACAGATATATATATGTATGTTACTTTGTGTGTGGAATTTCCCCATTGTTCATGCGTACAACTCGGTGTCTGAAGCCCAGACAAGAACGTGACACTGCTTTTGTATATACGTACTTTAATTTGAAAACTTTGAATTTGTAGTGGCAGTTGTGAATATAGGGTGGAGACTTAAATCTTCCTGTGCAGTGGTTAAGTGTCTACTGGGATTACAGGTCTTTAAAAAAAAAAAAAAAAAAAAAATTGAATGAAGAATAAGTTACCGAAATGAATGAAAGTTGTCCTGATGTCAGCACATAGGCTTCCTGAGGGAAAGGGCTCCTTGCAGAGACTGGCACACGGGGATGTTTTTCTCCTCAGAGGCTGTGTTAAGCGTGTGGCAGGAGAGAGGAGAAGCTTTCACTACTGTGGCCTCTTTTCAAACATTCAGGAACAACTTTGTGTACAGTTTATAGAGGTTGTCACCTCCAAACTGGTTCCTGTAATAACACTAAAATCAGAGGGACCTCTCTGTATTTTCCCTGTGGGTTTTAAGCTCCAGCTGGCAAGCCATGGGCACGATGTTTCAGCAGCCGGAGCGAGTCCATCCCAGCTGCCTGACCAAGCACTGTACTTTGAGGGTGGTTCAAGGTTTTTGTGAAGCAGTGGAGGGACAATTGCTGTTACCCCTTGGAAGTCTGTGCTGGTTGATCACGATGTGCCAGGTGGTGTGCTTGGAGATAGGCAGCAGCTTCAGAAGCAGCTGGTTGGTTTGGACAGGGGGACGTCTGAGCCCTGAAGACTTCAGTTTGGGCAAGAGGGGGGCTGACAGAAAGCTGGAAGGCAGAAGCTGGAGTAAACACCCAGGGAAGCTGCAACCTTCCTGCACAGGGTACCCATTACACTCTTGTGTGTGAAGACACGAGGGTGGTAAATGCCTCTCTAAAATGAATGCAACTTTTAATGAAGTCTGTACGCCCACGCAGAAGTATCCAAAGAACATTGTGTTCCTCTGCTTGGAGAAATGCCCAAGAGTCCTGCTGAGTTCAGGCTTGTCTAGATAGTGGTAGAAGTATTTGCTCAGAGCTGTGTTCAGCTGCTCTGATAGCTCACTCTGGTGCATCTTAGATTTGTAGCACAATGCAAGGGTGTTAAAGGTCCTGAAAATTAGAAACTTCAGACTGTTATTATGTAAAAGCAGAAACATTTTCTTTCATAACGTCTTTCGTATTAAGGTCACTCCACTGAAAGAGGCAATAACTTTGCGAAAATGAGGTGCATTCTCTCCTAGACAGCAGAAATTGCCTTTATTTGCTGTTATATAAAATCTACTTTGTAACTTCACAAGTTTCAATTCAGCCTCACTGAAATACGACTGTGCTCGTGACAGCTGGAGCAGTGACAGTTGACTCAAATTCACGCAAGTGTCTTTGATGGATTTTAGGAGAATTGGTTTTAACTCATATTCTTTTTAGGCAGGAAAAGAGGAAAAAAATTATTAAACTTTTCCAGTAGCTAGAATGCCAAGGAAAATAATGTTGATGGAGTGAGAGAGTTTGAAAGTTACATTTTTAACAGAAAGCGGTGGAAAGAATGCTATCCCCTCAGAAGACACAAACACAGATGTTTGAGTGTGCAAGTCAGCCAGCTGGAAGAGGACTGGGATGGGTGCAAACCTTTGGATTTGTAAAGCTGTATGAGCAGTTGGCCTTTTAGATAACCAGCCTGTAATTTGTGAAGGCAATCACTACTGTCTCTGTGCACAGATGAGTGGTATTTTATTAGGCCAACTGTAATAGTTGCAAAAAGTGGGTAAGCTTTCAAATGTGGTATTGGCACTTACAGCGTAAGACACATGGTGTTTAGCAGAAGGCAGGCGTGTACACGGATGAGGATACAGAAGAGGTAGCAGTACACTTTCTGGTGCTCCTCCCTTAGTATTGTATTTCCTAAGAGGACTGATAGGGTTAGATTTCTTTAATACTGTGCAAATCTATGGTTACAGAAGCTTAAAGATTTTTCTTCCCCCACAAAGTTACAAAAGCAAGGCTAGTCATCTGCATAAAATGTCAACTGTTTGCTCTGCAGGATATCTATCAATGTACATATGACAGAAATGAAAGAAAAGACTAAGATGACCAAGGAAGAAAACTTAAATGATCACAGAAGTAAAAGTCCCAAAGTAAAATCCCCATCCTCCACGCCAGCAGAAGTGAAAGGGGTCGAACAGCTGCCTGACAAAGTAAAACTTCAACAGAGTCCTAAAAGCATCATCACTGAGCCAAATCAAGAAGTGAAAGGGGACAATAAGCAAATAGGGAAGCAACAGCCGTTGCTGAGCAAGCCCAAACCAGATAAAAAGGCTGAAGAGAAATCAGAATTAAAATGCAAGCCCATAACCTCACAGAATACCTCTGCAAAGGAGCCCACGAAAGATCTGGGTGTGGAAGTGAAAATCCATCAAGAAACAGCAAAAGCTGAAGAATCCCCGACGGACACCAGTTCTGAGAGGAGAGAATCTGAGTCTGCATCTTCAGGGGGAACTGAAAATGATGCCCGTCAGTGTACCGGAATGGCACCAGAGAAGACTAGGTTATCAGAAGCTAGCAAAGAGCTTCCCACACAGGATGAAATGATCATTGGTAAGTTGTTCACAGTTACCCTTGTAAACTTTGACACTGAGATTTTTGTGCTGCCTCTGTGTGTTATATACAATATACACAGAATATATACAGTTTATGCAATAAGAGTTGGAGCAGTGCTCAGGAGACCACCTGTGTCTTACAGTTTAAGAGCATTGACCTAAATGCCATTAGGTACCTTTGACTATGTAAATACAAGTGAATTAGCATTTGTATAGATTCTTTTAATAGTAAGTTTCCTTCTAAAGTATGTTTTGGGAAAACAGCTCCTTTAAAATAAAATTGGGTGAAGTATATGTGTGATCAGAATCACGAGTAATTTTGAAAAAATCAATTTTCTTTAGATTAAGTATTTATTTCTTAAGATAGAGTATGCAAACTGGGTATGCTTTAGCAGCTGTGGACTGGAGGTCCACAGAGCAGCAAAATATTGCAGGAAGAGTATCTTGCTGGGGTCTTCAGTGAGTTATTTGCCATAGATCACTTCTTGGTTACTGTTTGGACAGTTAATTGCATTATTTCAGGGAGTAATCTCGCCTGGCCGCATAGATACGTGTATGTCCCAGAATGTACATATATAGGTAGATGTCCTGATGTGGATCTGGCTTTCTCACAGTGGCTGGAGATGAGGTGAACACATGTTAAATTGCAACCTAAGATATCTGGAGACTGATTGTAAAATTGCTTTGAATGGGGGATGCATGCCAAAAGTGGGTTTATGGAAGCTTTACCCTAGAAAAACTTGAATGTTAAATGTATCATGCTTAATTGATTTAGCTTCCCAGGAACTGATTAAACTTAGTAGTCATAATGATAATGCTTGCAGCTTTAACTCTGACATTGTCTGCAGAAGTCTTGCTGCTAGGAGAAACTTCCTGGTTTTACCAATAACTGTCATCGTTTGTCAGTGCTGTGTATTTGGGCTGGTCTATCCAGCTGCCATATAACGATTAAAAGATCAAGTGTAATTTTTTAAAACTTTCAGATATTTTTTGCAGGTGACCTCTTCTGTTAATGCATAAGCTAAGATGTTGATCTTCTGAAGGTGTCCAGTGGGTTTAGTGTGTTAAAACAGGGTTGAGATTCAATAGGAGGTGGGATCCTATTCTCAGTTCTGGGCCTTCATTCCTCATCTGTAAAAGGGTGTTGGCAGTAATAGTCCCTCACTTGAAGTAACAGAGATTTTGGATATTTTCAGCACCTCCCTTCTTATGACTATCTGCAAGTGCAACAGCTATTTTACTTGCGTGCCACTCTAAAAATAGTGAAGGAATCGCATGCTTAATGTTATCCAGATACTTCAGTGCTTGTCTGAGTTCCAGTAGAAGAAAAAATGATGGTGTGGTAAAAGAACATGAAGCAAAGAAAAAAGATGGGAGACGGGGCAGTGCACTTTAGTATAAAGTCCTGTTTTGAGTGTTTGCAGGAGCAGCTTGTTGGCAGCAGTCTGAGGCCGGCTTCTCTGGTGGTTGTCTTGGCCCCCAGTGTTCTCCTGGTGTTTCACAGCCACAGAAGCACTGAGGGCTGCAGTAGGGAAGGAGCTGTGTGTGTGTTTGTGGTCCTGCCTCTGCGTCAGCAATGCCTGTCTGAGAAATGGGGTTCATCCCTGGAGGAACAGCCATGCTGAAGGTGGGGGGAGCACAAGAGTATGGTTTGGTGGAGCTGTGGATACTGGGAGCACAGAAGGCAGTACAGACTTCTCATTACACCTTGCAAACACAACAAGGTGATTTGTATGTCCTGTGGATTGAAGTCATTGGTGTGAAGGAGGTGAAATTGAGTGCAGTGATGTGTGCAGAAACATCTCAGTGACCAGCTTGTCTCCCCTTTAGATGATAGCCCTTCTCCTCCAGCTCCCTTCGAACATCGCATAGTGAGCGTCAAGCAAACAGAGGTGGCAACCTACTACTCAGTGTGTCGTCATGAAGTACTGGGGGGGTAAGTCTCTGGGTCCATAATGCTGTACTGCTGTTGGTAGCTAAGGCATGGAGAAATGCAGTTAGCTGGAGAGCTAGAGCTGTCGTCTTCCGATGGCTCCAGGGTGTGCATGGATGAGGTATCTAGAAGCTCACTGCGGCCAGAGTGAGCGGGTTCATCCTTGAGACCTGGGCTATCACAGTTGCTGAGCTCCTTGTATCAACTTCTGTTGATTTTTGGGGTCTGTGGGTGGGGTGTCCCTTAGATGACTGGTTTCTGCCCCAGTTCCATTTTCAAATGCCTGACTATGATCTTGGATGACTGTTTTTTGCATTTGTTATAATAATGCTGGCCACAGCTGGTGTAATGAGAACAACCTGTAACCTTCGGGCAGACAGATTCAGAGCATTTGAAGTCAGCAAAGCCCATTAGGTCAGGCAGCTTCCAAAATCTTTTTTCCATGCTGAACTGCACGTTAAAGAAAACTAAGGGAGAAGTTATAATTACTTTGACCTTATGCTTAGTTTTCGCTCATAAGAAGTCTGCAGCTGCTTCAGCCTTTGTATTCTTGTATCCTTACTTATCTGACAAGAAGGTTTGATTTACAGGCTGATCCAAGTACAAATATGGCTTAATAAGTATAAGCCTGATGATGCAATAGGAGCAAGATGGTGTTTAGAAATCATCCCAAGGGGCATTAACGTATCTGCGTGACATGGGGGAGAATTTACAACATGCAAGAAATGCAGTCTGTGGAGTAGCTACAGTTACTGGTCTTATAGTCATTAAAAAGGTTATGAGATCAGGACAGAAATATCCTTGTTAATATACCCACTAACACATCACTGAAGGACAGCAAGCGGGTACAGTTACAGAACCAAAAAAGAATATCATCAGGTCATCATACCGCAGTGAAATGTAGTGATACGAAGCGGGCATAATATTTTAATGTAAGCAGTGAACAACTGTCTGGAAAGATAAAACTAATCCTTCATAAGCTGAGAGAAAGAGGAGATTCATGCTGCTGGCCACCTGATTCTGTTCACTTTGTACTGCGCTATTTTTAATCGACGATAAGAATAGTTGTAGGAAGAGTTTCTGCGCTGAGCTGCGTTCAGCTGGTTTCCCATCTTTTCTTTGGTATCAACAGGGGGCGTTTTGGGCAAGTTCACAAGTGCACGGAAATATCAACTGGTCTCAACCTGGCAGCCAAAATCATAAAAGTGAAAGGAGCAAAAGAAAGGGTAATTATGTTATTGTGAACCCAAGTGAGCACACTCCAAACCTGACCTTATAGCAAGCACCCCAACACCGCGTCCCTGGGGCAGCCCTAAGAGGCAGCTTGTCATTGGGTAGTATCAAATCCTGTAAAATCTGTCTTAGTGAGTAGCAGCTTGGTCTTTATATGACTGTTTGTCATCTCCTGTATTTGTGATTAAACCTTTTGTCCACATGTGACCTGTGGTAGAGCTGTTACTGGGTTTTACAAATAATTGTATTTGAATGTATTGGAATTTAAGGAGCATATTTTGCTCATTTTTCTGTTAATTTATTTTTTCAGGAGGAAGTAAAAAACGAAATTAATGTCATGAACCAATTAAATCACGTGAATCTGATCCAGCTTTATGATGCTTTTGAAGCCAAAAATAATATCACTCTGATCATGGAATAGTAAGTTTAAATGATCTTGGGAATTGTCTGACGTTTGGGTTTTCTCAGGTCACTAAAGGAAATAAGGAGTAATAATTCTGAGGTGTGAAGAAGGCTTGGGTGGTTTCCCAGCCTAAGAGAGAGTTGATTTCACTTTCAGAAGGAAAAAAACCCATGTTTTAAAGGTATTTTCTTCAGGTTACAAATTATATACTTGGGAAGATTGCAGTTTAAACAAATGGTAAGAAAGGCAGCTGTCTTCAAGAGTATGAACAAAATTACAAGATTGTTAATGAACAGAACTTTGCTGTGGTTCGTTTTTCATTTAAGTTTAACTTACAGGCCCTAACATTGTCCCTAGCTACCAAATTACCTAAAAGTGCTGTGGGTAAATAAAATCTTATATTAGGGAGAGAGTGAATGTGAGAGACTCAGACAAGAGGATGAGTGAAGCATTTTAAGTAGAATTACAAAACACATGGAGAAGGTAGGAAGGTGATTAATTATAGGCATAGTCCGCCTCCTTTGAATAATTTTAGAATTAATAAAGATGCCTCCCCATTTTAGGCTAAAAAAGAATTTTGATCTGTATCAAATATGGAATTAATAAAATGCAGATTTCATGATGTACACCTGCTGCCTTTTCTGTCCTCTTGTCAGCTCGTGTAAGATAACTTTCAGTTTGAGGAGTTTCATTTAGTAAATTTTATAGGTTGAAGACTTAATTTCTCTAGACTAGTAAGATGAGCAAAGAATAGACACTTTGGTACCCCCTGTAGGTTCTCCAGGTCCTCACTGAATCACCAGGTTGTGTGGGTTTAGGTTTGACATATCCCCCCAAAAGGGTAGTCACAATTTTTCCATTTTTTAATTTAGATTGATACTTAATTTCACACTCAGAAATTAAGTTTCTTGAATTCATTGAGACTACTTGTATACTTTATATGGGATGTGTTGTTAGGACCCTTGCTAAATTAGAGAGCCTAAGTTCCCAACTTGGAAATAAATTGAGCTAATGAGGAGTTTTAGAGTTTTTAACACTATGTCAAAATTTTAGTCTTGATGGTGGTGAATTATTCGACCGGATCACAGATGAAACCTACAATCTAACAGAGTTGGATGCAATCCTGTTTACCAAACAGATCTGTGAAGGAGTCCACTACTTGCACCAGCATTATATTCTCCATTTAGATCTGAAGGTCAGTAATTCATACTCTTCTGTTCTTTGGACCATCACAGAGTCTTTAATTACAAGAGTAATTTCTCATTTTGTGGACTTATGTCATAAATAAATAGGCTTACTTAATTCAATAGCCACAATGAGTGGAGCTTTAGAGATTCATTACTATTTTTTCAATGTCTATTTGGTAGCTTGCTTAGAATAGTGAAATGAACAGGATTCTATGCTTTTGTCTCTCTTAAATTGGAAGCTTGTCATTCTGTGCGGTATTAAACAATGCCCTTTTGTCATCAAAATCTCTTTGACTAGAAATGCCTTCAGTCTTCCTTCTACTTCCCCCTACCCCCTGGTAACTGTGTTCAAATACCTGTTCAGTCATCTTCCTATGGTTTGTCCTTTTTATGGTCTGGCACTGAACTGCAGTAAAATGACAATGTTTTTCTAATGGCCTCTTAATTTTTGAACAGAAATACCAACTGTGGTTTGGGTTTTTTTTCTGCTTGTTTATACAGTGCCTTGCACGAATTATGTTAGACCTGGTTGGCCTGTAGCCAGTTCTGCAGTTATAAGTTTGGACACCACATCATCCCCCTCATCCCCACTTTGAAAAATATTCTTATTGAAAAAAAAAAAATTTAAAAAATTGCCTTTGTGGGCAAACCAAATTGGTGACTTTTTATGAAGTTACTTTTATACTTAAGGAGTAAATCCAGTGGGTAAGCCTCAACCATCACACTGACTCTACCATTTTAGACAGGGGAGCCTTTCAATTTCAAAATCCATTTGTCATCTATGATGCAATATAGGAATATTGTTATACAGGAACTGAAGTTCAACTTCTTTATGGGAGGTTCAAACCCAAACCTTTCACTGACTCAGTATGCCAGTCAAATCCTTATCTCCCAAGAATAGAAGGAAAAGTATTATACTAAAAATTATCATTAATCTCTGAGATTTTTATACTCTTTTGCTAGATCTCTCTCTCAAACATTTAACTCAAAATACCCTTTTCTCTTTTTGTAGCCTGAGAACATATTATGTGTAAATCGCACAGGAAACCAGATTAAAATTATTGATTTTGGATTAGCAAGGAGGTATGAGTTCAGTTATTAATTTATTTTAAAAAACAAAACAACAAACGTGGTTTTGGTAGTTCTTGGCAGGGGGTGGGGGGGCTGAGCGTTTTGGTAGCTCTAAAGCTGCTATATGAATGAGCTAAGCAGTACGCTGCTGCAGGCATGAGTTTTCTGCTGTGTGCATTAATTATCTAATTACTTTTCCAAATAACATTTCTGTTGGATAAAGCTATACTGCTGTTCTAATTATCTCAAAATGGTTCCCCACTTAGAGCTTTTACTCTAGGGGCCCCATGAAGGCTCTCAGAGACTTCTTGACTGCTGGGTTTTATTGTGTAGGTTCTAGTTGTGGAAATTATTTGCTAAACTCTTTATGTAGATAAGTTGGTTGCTCTTGGTCTTCCTTCCAGTTTTGCTCTGGCAAAGGGATAGCTGATGGTGTATTTACCTGAAGTCACTGCAAAGTTCAGCAATTTTTAATTTTTTTTTTCCTGATTGCATTGGTGAGTCTGCTATGCTTGCCCTGCCATGCTCACAGGGCAAAAAGCCATGCCTGGAGTTTTACAAATGTGAGATGTGTTCCCCAGCCTACTCTCAGTAGTGATGTTTCTCTCTTTCCGGTAAAGGTACAAACCTCGTGAGAAACTGAAGGTTAATTTTGGAACACCAGAGTTCTTGGCTCCTGAAGTGGTGAACTATGACTTTGTTTCCTTCCCAACAGACATGTGGAGTGTAGGCGTCATCACGTACATGCTGTGAGTAACCCTGTGAGGGGTTGTGGCGATGGCACCAGAGCCTCTGCAAGAGCACGCCAGGGGAGGGTGTCTGCAGAGCAGGGATGCACCAGCCGCTGAGCCCATCTGGCTCTGATTCCTCCTAATTAATTCAGTTAAAAATCCCAGCCTTTAATGCAAAGCCACCCCACTGTGCGTATGAAGTCTCTAAAACACAAATAATCCTTTTGATAAATATGTAAATGTTCTCCTCCCTTACCACCTTACTTAGCAAGGTAAAATGGGTCAGGTCTTTTTTTTTTCTTTTTTTTTTTTCTTTTTTTTTTCTTTTTTTTTTTTTTTTAAATAAAACTTAGAAAAGTTGCCCAAAGCATGTCAGAGTTTTCATTTGGATTGCATTCTTGAGGACTTGAATTAATTTTCAAATTTGCAATTTGATCATTTTAGTAGCTTGGATTTGGTGTGCACAGAGGAATTAATGTTGGCCGTGGGTCTAAAAATATCATGTCACAAATAGGTCTAAAACTTTTCTCTGATATCTGTATGGTGGCCATGGATGGCTTGTGTGTCCAAAGTCTCTGCCTTCTGATGAGCTGACTTTGCGTTCCAGAATCTTTCACAGATGCTTTCTGTGAACTAGATACATTTCTGGGTTTAAATTTGTATGTTAGCCAAGAACCAAGCGAGGGAAGTAATAAACGACTGAAGCAATAAATCTGGTCTTAGAGACTAATTGAAAAAAGTATGCTATTGTTCAGAATTCTTTTTAATTCAAGCCAAATATGGATACAGGCCTTGATTCAGGAAAGCTCTTGAGTCCCCCTAGCTTTCCTGGCTGGGAAAGCACCGAAGTATGTACCTAGATCCCCATTGAATTAATTTTCTTGGGGATCAATTAATAGTGCTTCCTGATGTAGGTGAACTGCTAGAGGGTAACACTAGCATTAAAACACTTTATTGCTCCAAACTGTTGGCTTATCTTGGCAGGGATTGAGGCGTCTATCCTCTCCATAAGCTAACAACAATTATAAAGCAGAGGATTCCTAGAAGGAAAAACACATCTTGTATATAATAACTACTCATCTCCCTCCCATTCTTTCTTTTTTTAAGGCTTAGTGGTCTGTCCCCATTCCTGGGAGAAACTGATGCTGAAACAATGAATTATGTAGTTAACTGCTGCTGGGATTTTGATGCAGAAGCATTTGAACAGCTATCGGAGGAAGCTAAAGATTTTATTTCCAGACTACTTGTGAAGGAGAAAAGGTACCTCTTTGTCTGATCGTGAGGACAGTAGCACTTAATGACATTAAGTTCTTCCTAGCCAACTGTTTAGATTGCAGCCAGCAATGAGAACTTACAACATGACATTGTTGTATGCTGTATCTGTGCTTGATAGGTTGTTCCTTAGTGATTCAAAAGCCCCTTTTTAAAAGGAAATGTCTCTGTACCTTAACTGAAGAAAGTTGCTTTTCACAGTAGCATCAATACAGGCAGAACAGAGGAAATCTGGAAGGATTTACTGTGTAGGAATCTGTTTTTAGTATTCCTTCTGTGAGCAAAAGCTATGTCTATTGTTACTTTGGATTCTCACAAGCCCTGCCACAAATGCAGAAATGTCTCTTGAATGCCATGGAGGATAAATGGAAGCTGCAGCTGTGAAAATGTGCATTGTTCTCTTCTAAAGTGGTCTGCATGCATTTGGTAGATATTAAGGAGCATTTGGGACTTAACTATGCATGTGGCTTCTCAGTTTTGACTCCACTGAAATAAAAAGTAATTGCACATACAAAACAACAGGGGAGAATGAGGATGACAAGAGACCATGGCTATGGGGCTGGGTAAGTGAGCAGAGAAATTTTTCTCTTGCACTCTCTTAACACTGGAGAGTGCAGAATGTCATGAGGATCCTATGCACTGTGATGAGCAGTATCTCAGGAAGTGTCTCCACTCCCTTGTTTTGGTTCATTTAAGGCAGTTTCTTAATCCATAATATTGAGGAGCACAGGGCACTGAGAAAATGGCAACAAGGGTAGCTGGATTCACATAGCAGATTTCCTCTCCTGCAGCTGCCGGATGAGTGCAACGCAGTGTCTGAAGCACGAGTGGTTGAACAATCTACCTGCCAAGGCCAAGAAGTCCAAGCTTCGCCTTAAGTCCCAGTTGTTGCTGCAGAGTTACATGGCTCACAGAAAATGGAAGGTAAATAAACAGAGTCTGGCAAATCTGCTTCCAGTGGAAAATCAGCTCAAGACAGACAGATTCCCTCCTTTTTTGTATGTTGGCTCACTTTTGCCCACAGGCTAGCTTCTTGTAAATATGAGCTTGGGAAATCTATTTGCAGTTGTAATTTTTTTTTTTTTTTCTCATGCAGAATGATATTGCTTCTATTTTTAGCAAGTTTGGTTTCAATTTTTACTCCTTCTGATTGGTGTTGAGAAGTTTTACAATTTTTTTTTTTTTATTTTACAAGTTCAGAGACTTCAGGTGCTACTTAGGTTATATTAAAAGTTCTTTATCTTCATATTGATTTTTCCATTGACAACAGTTGCATTGTTCTCTTGTCACTATGGAGTAAGGCAATTTTGTGCCTCCCATTACAGAGAGTAGAAGTGTGAGAGAGAAAAAAAATTAGGCTTAAAACCATTCAGAGAACTCTTCAGGACCTTTCTGATAATCCCATGTGGGTCACTAGAGGTTAATGGATTTACCAAGAAGAAAAATGCATATCAGCCACAGAAAAGGTCCTTTACCTCAGTTGCACTCACACCTGGACTGTTCTGTTTTGTTGACAGAAACATTTTTATGTGGTGGCTGCTGCTAACAGGCTGAAGAGATTCCAGAGTATGTCTGTCAAGCTTGCATAAGCTTGTGTGAAGCATCTACCACTCTTGGAGATGGACATGAAGCCATGGAAGAAGGACTCAGTATCTTCAATAATTTTTACCCCTTTGTTTTATAACATAAGGTTTTGAGTCTGTCCTCTTCAAATATTATGTGTGTTAGTGGTAAGGTTCCAGAAGTGCCTCAAGGCAGAGGCGCTGAAGTAATTTCTACAAGCAGAAGCTGCATTGTTTTTACAAGTTTTCAGTTGTTGTACATAGTGATGGAAAAACATGGCTGTTACTGGGGCTGACTTCTTGCTGAAGGCTTTGATTCTGCAGAGTATTGTTGGTGTGTCAGTTTGCTGGTTTCTCACACCAAGCATGGGATCTCTAAAGACTTTCTTCACAACTGATGTATGCCATCAATTTTAGAGCACTGCCACAAGAGTGGCACAATTTTTCCCCTGGGTGTTTGTCACTTAGAACAAAAGAGAGTGGATATCCTTTTCTTCTATAATTTTTCCAAAAAGATTAATTTTTTTTTCTCCCTAAACATGATGATGATTCAGTACAACTACTCAGAGCTGAATGCTTTTGGTTTGTTGTTTTGTTTTGTTTTTAAATAATTTTTTATTCTACTCTGCCCTTTAAAAAACAGTCACCACATAGCTAGGAAATATGAGGAATCCTGGTTTGAAGCAACTTAAGTCAGTTGGTCCATTGCTACTTTTTCTTATGGTGAATTGAATTGAGCTGAATTGATTGAACTTTTGGAAGGAGATGGGTGAAGCTGCCGCAAATAAAAATGGCCTAATGACTGCTGGGTCTATGCAAAAACATCTCATGTTGTCTAGAAAAGAAGATATTTCCAGACATTGTTTTATATGTATTTTAAATTTGTAAGTTCTTCTCAGCGGCTGTGACTGCAGCCCTTAATTTTGCAAGTTCTAGTTCAAGGATTTTTTTCTCTCTGACAATTTATAGGAAGTCTGAGAAGTTAATAAGGTGTGGTACGCAAAATAGGTTTTATTGCTGTTCAGTGGCAGGGAAATGGTGTATTGCTAGACTCTGCCTTTAGCCCAGTTAGGAGCTTGAAGCCCTTTTTCCGTCACTTTGCTCTTGAACATTAAATGTTTTCTTCACAATACTAACTTATTTTGGATTTTAAACTTTTTCCTGACATATAAAGAGTTAGAGCCACTTACAGGCTCTCAGCTAAAAGTATGTTATTTATTAAACCTGTGGTTTTCTTCATTCCTGTTCTAGATTCTGCAAAACTCAGCATGAGCTGGCTCTTAGGAAGAACAGAAACTAATACTACTAAATCTAGCCTTTCAGCAAAGGCATCAAACCACTGTAAAACTCCCTTTAACTTTATGGACTTTCACATCCCTTGAATTAGCAAAAGTGTTGGTTGCTAATAAAGAGGTTTGTAAGACTGCCTTACCCTAGTAGTTATCTTTTCCACTCTAGTGCTTGTTACTTTGCATAGTCCTGAATTCTGGAATTTGTCAGCATTTCCGGAATTGAGACAGAGAAGAATTATTAAAATCAAGTGAAATAATCTTGACAATGTATCACCTTCTGTGAAGGCCCACTTTTGTTCACATTTTCCTTCCACAGTGGTTCTGCATGCTAAATGTGATTATATTCATTGGTCTGTATATTTCTGAATTAATAATAATAAATTCCATTAAAGTAGAACAAGCCTATTCCTCCATTTTAGTTTAACCCTCCCATTGATCAGACCTGAAAGCATCTTTGAGTAGGTCTTAACAGAATGCTAATGTACCAAGTTGGATTCTGTCTCATCCTGAGGACCCTCTGTTACATGTTAGATCAGACTTTAAACAGCAGACATTTTGTCCCAGCTTACTCAGTGTGGGTTAGCTATCCAATACCTCTGCACATCAGGCATTTGTTTGGAGTCCATTACCCAAATGTAACAGGTACTGTTACATTTCAGAACTCTCATCTGGAATATTCTCTGCATTTGTTTGAGTCCATTACCCAAATGTAACAGTTACTGTTACTGTAACAGTTACTGTTACATTTCAGAACTCTCATCTGGAATGAAATTAGCTCTTGCTAATTAATGATGGCTTCAAGTGATTTCCTTTTTTATGCGCTGGGAGACGTGAAAGGAAAATGGCCAGTAAGTTTTAACAATTACTGTGTGCTTCTTCCTCTTAAGAGTGTAACACATGGATGCTCTCTGCTGTCTTGCATATATTTCCTCTCCATTTTCTACAAAGAGAAGGTGCATCTGGCCAGCAGGATTAGCAATTCTTTCCTGACAGAAATAAATCCCTTTAGATTCAGCAGGCACCACATGGTTCTGCAGTACAGTAAAATCCACCTCTGCAGCCTTATGGGATGTTTCACGATGGTCTGTGCATCTTGCTTTGGGGTCTAAAAAAAGCTAAAAGGATAAACCACAGGTGGCCTGTGAGACACTGGGAAAGTAAGTATGACAAAAAGAACTGGCCCCATACGCTGATATCTAAAGCAGTTAATGATATAAACCATCGCAGTCCTAGTGCCATCAGCGTCACCGTGGTAAGCAGGGAGCATGCACAGCAGTGATCCATTTGCCAAGCCATTAAAATACCGTTGAGAAGAAGCTCAGATGGGGACAGTGTTTCAAATCTAAATGCTCAGACATGAGGTAACTTACCTTGCTCCATATGGGTTGTTTATGAAAGTTAACTTCTCTCTGCACATCCCAGGCAGAAAGCATGCAGGAGAAACGGGCAGAAGACTGGGTTTATTATAGTTACACCAGCTGTGTACTGCCAAAGTTGTGATCTTCCTTTATAAAGTAGTTCACACAGATTGTGGTTTGAGTAGCTGGGCTGGATGTGTATGACTGTAGAAGTTGTCCCTGAGAACTATAGCGCAGGGCACTCTCTCCTCTTCCCTAAGTTTATGACTGTGAGATGCAAAAATCCTGTATTATCCAGACAAGATCCTTGTCCCCTGGATACCCTCCTTCTGAGAGCACAGACATCTCCTGTGTGTCTTTTATTTTGCACTCTAAGGGTTTTATATATGACAAGTGCCAAGAACCTGACATCGTAATACAAAGCTTTTCCTGCCAGCGTCTTTATTGTTTCTTGAAATGTTTGGGTCCCCTTACAAGCACAAAATAATTCAGTTCCATACAGGTCATGAAAAGAAGTCAAACTCGGTGACTTAACAATATTTCTTCAACATTAAAAAAAAAAAAATTAAAAAAATCAGGCTTTTAATTCCTCTGCTGGTTTTGCAGTTTAACAAGGAACTATTAGTTCCTTCCCTCTTTTTTCATTGACTACTTCCAGCCACGGGCACGAGGGCATGTAATATAATTATAACTTATTGACAGTTAACAAACACAGCCTTAGAACGTTACCTGCTTCTTGCAGCAAAAATGAAGCTATTCTACCACCTAATGCCACAGCTGCTAGGTATCAGCCTGGCGAGTAGACAGACAGGCTTCTTGTAAAATCACCTCAATTTTGGTGTCATTTACTAAAACTAACATTCTTAAACACTTAAAAAGTAGCTCAGAAATAAAATTGGCTGGCTACCAGGCAGCCATCTGCTACTGGAATTCTTGCCAGAGCAGAAAGAGAATTAAAATTAAGAGCAAGCAGCAGTGATATTGCTAGGTGGCACTACAGAGACAGTATCCCTACTTGTCTCTTGTGCCTTAGCAGCTTTTTCCAGGATTTTCTTTTTCCATTCTTCATAGTCTTGCTTTGTTTCAGTCTTTGTCCGTTTACATGGCACCTCCTCATCATCTTCAGATCCTATGAGAGAAAGTCTGTGACAGGCCATCATGGAAAGTATGTTACTGGGAATAACCATGGCAGTGAGGAAGCGTACAGACACAAGTACAGGGTCTGTCACTGTATTATCTAATCCTGTGGTCTGCTGTTCCCCTCACCTGCTGGAACAATCACCTCTTCACTTTTGTGTCTGAATGGAAGACTGTGCCTTAATTCTACTAGGACTACTTGGTATAAACACCATTGTCCTGCTAAGTTCTCTTTGTCCTTTCGTTAGCCAGTAGCTTGCAGAATGGAGTAAGCTGCTGTGAACTGAGTATCAGGGCATATTATACAACTAAAATATAGGTCAGGAGGAAATGGAATGAAGCGATGTCAGAGGAAGTTCAGACTGCACATTAGGAAAAGGCTCTTCACTGAGAGGGTGATTGGTCACTGGAAAAGGCTCCTCAGGGAGCATTTGGACAACGCTCCTAGTCATACGGTTTGTTTTAGGTAGTCCTGCAAAGAGAAGGGAGTTGGACTCCATGATCTTTATGAGTCCCTCACAAATTGACATATTTCATGATTCTATGATAAAATATCATTAAGCAGCAATGCTGAGAACTGCTCTGGGGAGGCAGTTTTAGTTCATAGCTACACACAACTTACCATCTATCTTCTCATAGTGATCCAGGTTGGTCTGCAAGCTTTCAGGTGTCTCTGCAGCCAGTGGAACATCTTCCTCTAAAAAAATAAGTAAGTTGCTTTATTTCTGAATGGTGTTTGGGGCCTCAAGGGTGGTGTTCTACATGCAATTCTTTGACAGCAGTGCTATCTTCCAAAAGTATTGCCTCCCAGTCAGAGCAATTCCCTGGTCCAGACTGATTCTCAAGGTGTACATGGAGAGGTGCCAGCACACTTCAAAGGTTGCATGGACTGGCTGGCTGCTTTAGCTAGCACTGCTGGTGCATTTGTAACCACAATGACCCACCATGTTCATACCTCAAAAACACACTGCTACTCTTCTTGAATACTCAGGCAGGATTATCAGTTATTTCTTCCCCTTCTGTCTCATTTCCACACTTTGTATTAGATGCCCACAACAGGCAGGGGACTGTCCATGTATACAGATGCATACTCTTCCCTGAACTGATACAGAAACTCCCAGCTGTCTTTAGCTGCTTAGTGGGTAGGGTAAGGGTTTTGGTTTTTTATAGGGCACTGTACTATGGGAAGGTCCATGCCTAGGGAGAAAGCAGCAGCTTTTGGTTTGGGTTCAGGCAGGAT